CACAGAGGCCTCGCGGGGGCCGAGTGCCTCCAGCGTGGCTGCGGCAGGGCAGAGCCTGGAGACCCCAGAGGGGGCTTCAGGGCAGCAACTCATGGCTGGATTGGGGCCCCACGCTTTGGCTCGACCCCTCTCGCCGGCCTCCTGACACAGAGACAAACATTGGCCACTGTCTTAGGATTCTTCGGCGGTCCTAGACAAGGGCCCTCGAGCTTCTTAACATAATTACTTTTTGCGCAGACAATAGCAACCACACATTTCACACATGCCAGCGGGACCCCGTCGGACCACACGATGGCCCTCGCCGACAACAGGGCCCCCAGGACACTTGGAGGCAAACGGCGTTTTAATCCACTCAGCTGCTTGTGCCTCGTGCAAGAGCCCACGAATCTAATATTTTAGCCATGGGCCTGCTCAAAGTTGTATTCAGTAATCGACAGCTTGGGGGGGGGCACGATGCACATCTTTTCGGGGGGGTGAGGGGCAATCTCTTGCGTTTCACAGTACATCCGAACTGTTCTGGGCACCAGGATTGCCAACTGCTTAGTGTTGTGGCAAGGTCGCCGAAGGAGTTCCTCGTGACCCCCTATCAACACCTTAGCAACCTGGACGTCCGCGGCCTGTGCATATGCAAACACATCCGCCCATGCATGTCCAATCGCATGCGCCCGACAGCCTCCGCCGTCTACGAAATCGTACAGGTCATTATGGTTAGGTATCAGTACAAATCTGCACCTCCCAACATCGTCTCTGCACAGCTCGAACATGGATCCCCATATACTTGCATGCGTGGATGATACACTCGGTAACGACACGTCACACGTATTCGCTTCTTTCACGAAGCTGAGGTGATCCGAGACAACCAGGCCTGGCTTCCTCATAGATCTCGGCGCCATCAATCCCGGACATCTTTCGCCCCTTGGAGCAGTCTGTTCAAGACCAAGGCGACCTCAGCATTTTGCTCTGACAGGCCACCCAGCGAAACGGGCCCAACTGCAACACTGCCCAGCCGCTCTGCATGACGTAGGGTGAGTATTGTGCAAGCCCGACGCGTCGCAATACGCCGCAGTGTCCAATTTGCACGAGCAGCCCCCCCACCCGTGCACAACAGGCGAGTCCGATGGTGGCCCAGGCTGCAGTGGTTCCATTGGGATTCCGTCGGTGTCACCGCCGTGCTCCGCCACCAGCATCCCGCGTCCCGCACCAAACTTGAGTACTTCCGCAGGGAGCTCTCCTGGTAGTAGCTCCGTCTTTTCCAACAACTTCGGGCGTGCATTCCATTGATGCGACGACGTCCCTCTCGGTGTTTCACAGTGAATGCGTTTCCTGGATGTCGTCGGGCCGAGCTCGAAAGACCTGTCTGGGCAAAGCAACCCCCCCGACCACAACCGACGGGTGGATCCTCGAAGCGGCCCAGGCGGCAGCCTCAAATCGTTCTGCGCATCGCCCTTCTCCAAATCTGCTCATCGCCGATCCTCTCGTGCAAATGCGGCAACGCCCTTTCCATTTGCTAGCTGTCGCGATCATCTCTGAACACGAACGGGTTAGGCATCGCCCAGCCCGATCTCCAACGCGTCAGCCTCGCGTCGGCCTTGTCGGCCTCGCGTTAGAAAATCTCTCCGCCACTTGGCTGCCACGCCCAATGCAAGCGTCAAGCTGGAACTGATTTGTCCCAGACAAAGCTGGCATAGCGTTTGAACGACAACGCACTACAATCAAATATGGGGTCGACTCGGTCTTCATTCTGCGCGGCAAGGGAGGGCGTGAGCGAAGCATGGCGGGCTGCGCTAATCATGCCACCCGCGACGGTACGCAACTGCTGGAGCACAGCGTCCGTTGCGCCGCTCACTCCCGTTCCTTCCCCCGACGCCGTTCAACGCCCCGTGCGCCACACGTCCCCAATTTTCCCATGCGCCTGCTCCCGCAGCATCCAAGCCTTCCGCCTGCGGCCCCTCGGGGCCCTCCGTTTCTCCTTCTCCCGGAGCCTCAGAACCTTGGCGCCGTGAAGCTCATGCCCAAGACTCCGGGCGTGACGTCTGGCCCTCCGACGCGCGCGCTGTACCCGTATTAGAACCCACTGGCCGCTCGGACCGCGGAGGCAACGTGCCCAGATTTGTTCTGAGGGAGCATCATGCCCAGGCCTCGTGAGTCCCCCGCGAAGTCCCTCGCGCTCGCGTGCAATGCGCTGGGGCCTCACATCCACGCGCCGCGCATACAGTTTTTCCACTACCACATATATATATATATATATGTCCACCTTCAGTACAGTAGTAGCGCGCGTGCAACCAGCCAAGATTCCCTGATGCGGGGTGAACGCGACGCTCATGTTAGAATATGCTCGCGCCGCGCGTAGAAGCATGTAGGTCTGCATGATCATCCACGCGAGCCTCACAGGGTAACCGAGCACGCGCGCCTCACGCATGATAGCTCCCCACAATATCGTCTCGTCGCACTTGTGCATGTCCACAGAAGCCGTGATGGCGTGCTGCCTGCGCGCGTGCGCTGCTTCAGCCTCAACATTGAGTTGGGGCGCGCAGTCACTAGACGTTCTTCCCGAACTTCCCCCCACAACGCTGGAGGAGGTCGAGCATTCTCCCGCAGCAAGCTGAGGGGCCGTCTCGCGCGGCCCCGGATCCTCAGCATTGCGCTGAGCAGGGCAGTCAGACGTTTGCCGCCGCTCGCGTTGGGAAGCATGCACGTCTCCGTGAACATCTGCGACTGTGCCCGCACCGGCCATCTCTCGCACCCGTTGAGCAACTCCGCCGGCACCTCCAGCCCAGCATCTGATGTGAACCAGAAGTGTCTCGACAGCACGCGCACCTGGCAACGTCCTGTGCACCTTGCAAAAGGCAAGCACCACTCTGCTCAGGTCGGCGCCACACGGCGGCGGTGACTGCTCCCACTCCGCCGCGTCGCTGGGCAGAGGAAGCTCTTCCGCGCCGTGCAGCTGGCATGCCCTCTTCAATGTTTCCAGCTCGCTGTCCGCCAGTTCTGGGGGAGACGACAACGCAGGTGCATCCAGGGCCGCCTGCGCTCCACGGGCGCGCGCGAACCGATGCGCAGCACGCCCTCCTTCTTTGAGCGCCCCCTCTGTCCGCTGAGTTCACGCATTCTGCCTCTTCCTGGCGAACATGTCCATGGCCAGCTGCGCTTCGGCAATCGTCGCCTCCAGGTTCACCTCGAGTTGGGCGTTTCCTAGCCAACCAACATAGCTTGCTTGAAAGCACTGCCTGTGTTCTCATCCAGCAACTCATGCATCTTCCGGGCCTTCACCACCTTGGAGCTGAAGTGGTCCCTGCTGGGCTTGGCCTTTCCGTTGCCGCGCCTGGGGAAGATCCCGCGGCCGACGTCAGCGCCAGGCTTGGCCTCCCCCCATCTCACCCATCGAGCGCCAGGCGCAGCAGATGTGTAGTCTGGCAAGCTCCGAATGACAGCCCGACCACGGGCCTCCACGAAATCACCATAGCCATGATTCCCGCCATCTGGTCCATCGCTTTCGAGACAGGAGCCCACCTGTGCTTGCGTGATCCTGTGAGGGGCAGAAGCAGGCCCCTCCACTGCATTGCGCAAAGCGTCGCAATCAGCCCGAAGAGAACCCGTGTTGTCCAACAGGGGTCCAGCGGGATCGCGGGCCGCCTGCCCCACCCCCGCTACCTCCGGCGCATCGCTTGAGGCAGCCTGCGCGCCACTTCTGGGGCGCCGAACCCGCTGTAGACGCACTGGGCAACAGTCCATGGAGGTCGTGAGGAGGAGGAGGAGGAAAAGGAGATGGAGGAGGGAGGAGGAGGAGGAGGAGGAGGAGGAGGAGGAGGAGCAGGAGTGGGCCCACCTCGGCTCCATCTCATCCACTCCTGGCGCCTCGACTGTAGCAGCCTGCTCAGTTCTCGGGGGCGCCGTGCATGCGGGGGGGGCGCCGCAAGGGAACCACCCGGAGGACCGCGGGCGCACCTCGGCCCCACCCTCTCTGCCTCCTGGCGGTGCGCACGAGGCGGCCTGCGCAGCGCCCTGGGACGCCGAAGTCGCTGGTCCCGCCGTGGACAGGCCCCCTTCCAGAGCAGCCCATGGATAGGCCAAGAGCGTTCCGAGACGGCCAGGAGCTGTTTCAAGACGCCGCCAAGACGCCCCACGAGGCCCTCTGAGAGTGCGCGGGCTTTCAAGGCCGAACGCAGGCAGTGGTCCTGAACAGCCCATAGTCTCGAGCTCGTTCCGCAGGTCGTCCAGCAGCTTCGAGACTAGAGCCTCCACCCTCCGAGTGTGCCTCGCCCATCTCTCGGCGAGCTTCCACGCGTACTCGGCTTCGTCGGTGGCATTGGCCTTCGCCTCGCTACATTGCTGCTCAGCTACGCATTGGCTGCAACCCTTCCTGGACAAGTGGGGTCAGAAATTGTCGCCAACAATAGCATGTTTGCTAGCCAACTCAACCTCCAACGTTTTCAGCACTTCGAGGTAAGCATCTGCCAAGTCCTCCTGCGACTTCACTTTCTCAATCCTGCGTGAGACGGGTCCCCATGAGCATGGGGATATGGCGCATCCTGGTCTGACCGCGGCAGGAAGAGCCTTGGCCTCTCTCGTCTTGCGCAGTAGCAGAGGGTTCTCCTCGGTTTCGAGAATCATGCTGACAGGCAGATGTGGTTTGGTGTCAGCTTCCTCTACACTGATCGGCTTCCGAACTCCCCAGCCAACTTCCCATCATTCGGAAAGTATTCAATGATCGATGCAGGTAGCGACTGGCGACGCGTCGCCTCCACGCTGGAGTTTGTCAGCCCTCCAATCGATGACGGCCAGTCTTTGCCTGTGAGGGCAGCACTCGACATATTGAAATCTCCTCCGACAGTACATGATCCCCCACTCGATCTCATCAAATTCACGTGAGTGGCCAAGACATGGACGATCTCCTCCACATTCCTGGCCGAGAGGCTTTCGCTCCCATGCGTGCATACAGAGTGTAGGATAAGGCCTTCGGGGCCCCCCAATGTTCCTGTGCCGCAAAGAGCCCGCGCGGGATGAGTATTCTCGCCTTCGAGCTGGGCATGGCCGCGATCGTCACCTGCTTGGTTGCCAACACCGCCACGCCAGCCGATGCACTGTCAGCAGCCGTGGCCTGGCCCCTGGCCCAAACCCCATGCCAATCCACATGTTGCAAACTGTTCTGAATTCTGCCAGCTTACCGGCCAGCAACCTGCGTCCCTGCACGCGTAGCACCATCGCCCTGCTGTGCTGGAGGAACCCTTTGAACTGCTGAGCCAATGCGCAACCGAGAGTCTGGATAGCAGTTTCAGCCATTCATGTATAAGAGAGACAGCACAGAAGCAACCTGCTCTCACGCCGTGCGGGTCCCTTGAGGTAAGCTCTGGATGCCTTCGCTGAGCCTCTTGACCGCGCCCCGCAGGTCGTCCTCGTCGCCGGGGACAGCTTGCCGCGACGATCCCACACACTTCCACAACGCATCGGCATCCTCTGCCCCATTCGGCAGCTCGTGCATGCACTGCATACGGGGCAGAACAGGGCTGAACCTGAACGGTGTTTTTCGTTTTCGTTTTGTTTTCGTTGTCCCTCGTTTTGTTTTCAATCCGCCTTTACGGCAAAACGAATTCGAAACGAAAACGGCCCACGAAATTGCCAAAACACCGTTTAGGTCCAACCCTGGGGTAGAAGGAGCAGAGGCAGGAGCAGGGCCACCATCATCATCGTCAGGAACGTGCACAGGCTCTGGCGGCTGCGCCTCCGTTCTGCTCGATGTTTCTCAGCACCCAAGATGGCGGACATGGCGTACTTAAAGTGAGCTGGCAAAGTAGCGGCCTCCTGCTCCCCCAGTCCTCTTGTACTGAAGAGCTGTCCCAGCTCTTCGGCCGAAACTCCGAAGTTCGCGATGGTGGGGGAGGGCGCCCTTGCGGGCGGGAGCTTGGGCTGGGCTTCCAGCACCACCTTGACTCCGCCTACTTCGCCACGATCTGCTCGAGCATCTCAGCGCGTGCTCGCTCGGCCTCCTCCAGCACGTTCTTTGCTTCCTCGACGGCCGCCTTGTCCGCCTTCACTGCCTTCTCGAGATTACCTGGCTTAATGGTAAGCTGTTTCCTTTGGTTGACCACATCATGGGCCCTCCACTCGAAGGGCTGCGCTTCCCGCAAGTTGGCCTTCCAGCTGCCTCGGTGCCTCTCGAGATGCATCTTCTGCTGCATGGCGAACTCCGAGGTCGGCTCACGCGGCAGCGCCTTCAGCTGCTCGCGCAGGTCTGCAAGTTGCTTCTCCAGGGCCTTCTCTCGCAACGCCTTGCTGCTGTCCACACCCTTGCCCTTGGCCTTGCCACCTCCTGCGCCCAAAAGACCATAACGGCGACTTGGGTGGCTTGATGGAGAAACAGGCGATGCTCTTGTCATTTTTTGCATTCACCACCGCACACTTTGGCTCCCGCTGGATCCCACCAGCGCTCGCCCGCCTTGTTGGTGCACCAGCGGCATAGCCACGGCTTGCCCATGCCATCCGTTTTTGCTGGTGTCGAGTCTTGGACATCGCAGTGGGCCATCCTCCGAGCAGAGCCCCTCGCGGGGTTGGGCCGCCAGAGAGCCCCTGGGGTGCTGGCTGAATGGATGGGATGTCGAGCGCAAGCGCTCTGGCACTGGCCGCAGACTAGCGGTAACCGTGTATTCCGCGGGGGAGTTCATAGCCTTGAGCAAGAATGAGGACGGAAGCGAAGAGGACGAGGAGGAGGAACAGGAGGAGGAGGAGGAGGAGGAGGAGGAGGAGGAGCAGGAGGAGGAGGAGGAGGAGGAGGAGGAAGCGGCGGAGGAGGAGGCGGGGTCCTCGCTCCCTCCTGTCCTCCCTCATTGATTCGCTTCGCGGGCAGGAAAAGGGAGGAGGAGGAGGAGGAGGAGGACGAGGAGGAGGAGGAGGAGGAGGAGGAGGAGGAGGAGGAAGAAGGGAGGCGTGGTCAGGGAGGAGGACGGGGACGGGCACGAGGACGACCGTGGAGGGGGACGACGTCTTTATACACCCCCTGCCTTCCCCTCGCCGCCCCCGCCCTCGTCGCCGTCGTTCTCCCCCTTCGCCCCTCTGTTCATCCTCTTCTCACCTGCCCCCCCCTGCGCAAATGCACGATGAGGAGGAGGAGGAGGAGGAGGAGGAGGAGGAAGAAAAGGAGAAGGATTAGGAGGAGGACGAGGACGAAGACGAGGAGGAGGAGGAGGAGGAGGAGGAGGAGGAGGAGGAGGAGGAGGAGAAGGAGGACAACGACGACGCACACGAGGGTTTCGACGAGGCACCCCGCCAGATCCCTCGCCCCTCTCTCCCCCATCCCCCCTCTTTGCTCATCCTGTTTCTCACCCCCTCCTCCCGCCCCTCCCCCCCTCGGCGCGAATGCAGGAGGAGGAGGACGATGAGGAGGAGGAGGAGGAGGAGGAGCAGCAGCAGCAGGAGGAGGCAGACTCTTCTTGGCCTCGCACCCTTGAGTCCTGCGTCGTCGCGCCACCCGCGGGCACGGTGAAGCGGCGCTCCGCTTCGGGCGGACAGAGCCAGTGCAGCAGGGCGTCCCCCGACCGGAACGACGCACGGGGCCGGGGGGGCGGGGTTTGCCCGCTGTCAGCGGGCTTCGACACGCCCGCGAGAGCCTCGCCATCCCAGCTGGACTGCTCGCCTCGCTGGTACTTGGTGCCCCGCCCCGGACGCGGCCGGCGCGACGCGGCACGAAACACGGCACCGGCATGCGGCACGGCATGCGGCACGGCACGCGGCACGGCGGATGGCACTGCCCACGGCACGGCGCCGGTTGCAGGAGGTGTCGGCGGCCGCGCAGGCGAAGTCGCGGCGCTCCCCGGGCGATTGGGGCGCTCCTCGGGCGCGGGCGGTGGCCCCGCGACCCCCGCTCAGCCGACTCCGGCGCGGCGGCGAAGGGCGACCGACATCGAGGGAGTCCTGCCGCGTGCGACGAGGGCCCCCCTGAGTCCTCCTGCCGCCGAGCGCGAAGATTTACGGTGCATCAGGACAACGGCGGCGCACACTAGGGCTTCGACGACTCACCCTGCCAGCCCCCTCGCCCCTCTCCCCCTGCTGCCTCCTCCTCCCGGCCACCTCCCCCGTGCGAGAGGGGGCGAGGGGAGCAAGAGGGCGAGCGGGATGGCGACGACGGGGCACCTTCCCCCCCCTCGTCGTCGTCGTCGCCCTCGCCCTTCGCCCTCCCTCCCCCCTTTCAGTCTCCCCCCCCCTTCACTCCTGCCCCCCCCCCCTCCGCGGCAGGAAGGGGCCGTCGGCGAGGGCGGGGACGAAAGCCACCCCGCGGCAGGGGGGGCGGGCGTCGGCGAGGGCGAGAGGACGGCGGAGAGGGTGGGGAGCACGTTGAATGCGGAGGCGGACGGCGACGACGACGGCTGCTGGCACCCCCATCGTGACGACCGCCACCACTGCGGAAGCGGTGGCGACGGCGGCAGCGGCCCTCGACGGCGGCGGCGCCTGCGGCGCGGCGCTGACAGCGGCGAGGACGACGGCGACGGCCGGCGGCGGCGGCGGCGGCGGGAGCGGCAGCGGCGAGCCCGCGCAGGGCCGCGCCCGGGCCCGGGGCCCCAGAGCCCGTGGCGGCGGCGTCCGCCCGCCCGGAGGCCGCCGCCGGGAAGGATGCGTCATCGTCGAGGTGGTCGCCGCCGTCTTCGTCGTCTTGGTGGTCGTCTTCGTCGTGGTGGTCGTCGTGGTCGTTGTGGTCGTCGTCGTCACCGTCGTCACCGTCGTCGTCACCGTCGTCGTCGTCGTCGTCGCCGCCGTCGCCGTCGCCGTCGTCGTCGTCGCCGCCGCCGTCGCCGTCGTCGCCGTCGTCGTCGTCGTCGTCGCCGCCGTCGCCGTCGTCGTCGTCGTCGTCGCCGCCGTCGCCGTCGTCGTCGTCGTCGCCGCCGCCGCCGCCGCCGCCGCCGTGAGTGTCCCCCGTTGCTGCCGCAGCGTTGGGCGGCGAGGCGCGAGGAGCGCGGGCTCCGAGGGCTCTTGGCCCCGCGTGCCCGGCCGCGCCCCCCGTCTCGCCCCTCGCCGCCGGCCTCGGATGCGCCGACACACCTATCCTCCGCCTCCCCGTCCTCGTCGCGCCTCCCCGAGATCCGAGCCGAGCCGGCCCTAAGGGTGACGCAGAGATATGGGGCCTGGGGCCGAGGTCGAGATTCTTCATTGTTCAGGAGGGAAAGAAACACACAGACACAATTAATCGTCGACTCCCAGGAAAATATGCAAAAATATGGGAAGTGGGGGGGAAGACAAAAACCCCAAAAATATAGGAAGATATGGGGAATCTTTCGCCCGGGCGTTTTCGCCCGGTTTCGGGCCCCCGGGCCAGCACAGATCGAGCCGGCCCGAAGAGTGACGCAGAAATATGGGGTCTGGGGCCGAGCTCACGAGGGCGATGGATCCTCGGGACTTTCAAGCCTCGAGCGATCGCACGACGCCGGTCGCTCCTTCGAGGCCCCGTGAGCAGCCTCCGCAGGTCCAGGTCGTGCCGCGCGCCGCGTCCGCCGCGAGCGGCCCTCTCGGAGCCCCCCTCGCTCGCTCGCGGGCCTCTGCCGTCGGTCGCCGCTTCCTGGGCGTTGGCCGTGGGGGCAGGCCAATGCTCAGGAGGGAAAGAAACACACAGACACAATTAATCGTCGATCCCCAGGAAAATATGCGAAAATATGGGAATTGGGGGGGAAGACAAAAACCGAGAAAATATGAGAAAATATGGGGAATCTTTTTATTTGTGTGTATTTATTTGTGTGTTCTGGGGCCCCTTTAAATGCGCACTCCGCACCTCCTCAGAGCCCCAAATCATCAGGGGGTTAACTCGGGTCAGGGTTACCTCGGGTTCGTTTTTGGGGGAATCCGAGCCCGACTTGCCCCGGGCCCGAGAGCCCCAAAGCATCAGGGGTAACTCGGGTCAGGGCTAAATCGGGTTCCTTTTTTCGGGAATCCAAGCCCGAGTTACCCCAGACCCGAGTTACCCCAGATAACTCGGGCGCCCAACCTCCTCGTCGTCGTCGTCTTCGCCCTTCCTCCTTGTGCACCCTTCCGACGGCGCGCCAGGAGGCAAGGGTGTGGGGTTGGGCGGCGCGTGCTGGGGCGGCGATAATTAATTGGGTGAGCAGCGAGGGCTGCAGAAAAGGGGCCCTCTAGGGCCCCTAATGGAGCCCTCCAGAGCTCAAGTGCACCTGCTTTCCCCCCGCATTTCTCGCCCCCCCCAGCGAACGACGCCCAATGGCGGGGGGGCGCCCTCCGAGAAAGCAGGGGGGCTCCCAGAGGGGAGTCAGAGGCCCTCAACAGGGCCTCTTCGGAGGCACGGGAGTGTCTTCCGGGAAGCCCCCGCCCCCTTCGAGGGGAGACCGACCCTAGGATTGATTTGCCCGAGATATGTGCGCGTTCACTGCAGATCTGCGGGACTTCGGCGTGTTCCTTGTGCAAGTTCGAGGAAAAATTCAGATCTGGGGCAACTCGGTTCTGTGATAGTCGATCCCCTGCTCGACCCCCCGCCCTCTGCGAGGCTTGCCCTCCCTTCGGGCCCGTCTCGGCAGCCCTCGGATCTGGGGGCTCGCGGATGGGAGGCCCCCCCCTCTCGCCCACGGAAGGGATCGATTGCAGAATCGGTGGGCTCCAAAAATTCAGATGTTCGTCGCGTCAGCAGAAACTATATACAGTCGAACTCTACAGTAAGGACGGGCAGTGAGGACGCAAGGGGCTTGGACGCCGAAGTTGGCACTTTTTGGGCTGCGGGCTGCAAACGCCCTGAAGGACTGGCCAGTGACAACCGCAAAGGACGAGCCACAGAGGCAAGGACGCAATGGTACCCTAAGGTTATCCGTGCGTCCTTACTGTGAGTTTTGACTCTACCTGGATTGCTCGCAGATCTAAGACTGAGAGCGATATACGCTGTTGTGTCGTAGATCCGGCGACAAGGGCAATTCTAGGGTAGATCCATTATGTACTCCAGATTTCGTAATACAAGGGAGTGGTCTGGACCCTCCAAGACAAGCCATTTCAGACCTCCCCCGTGGGAGAACCCTCCAAAACATCGTCCCCAGACCCCCCAGGCCCTCCAAGATAGCCTGGAAGAGACCCCCCCCGAAATGAGACCCCCCTCCCTTTATTACGAAATCTGGAGTAGCCGATCCCCGGCTCGGAGTGAGGACGGCGCACCCCCCCCTTCACCCCCGGCCAGAAACCCACTCCTCACCTTCTGGTCGAGGGGTCCTGGCTATGGAGAGCCTGCTGCTTCGAAATGAGGTTGATGCCAGCGAATGGAACATGACCTTGGGTCAGTCAGGGGGTCAGTCTTGTGTACTGACGTCTTTTGGGGCAGTGGGCCAGCTCACGATGCCAACCAATGATGGGCAAGCTTCTGATGTTCACTTTCGGTGGTGGGCCCGCCCCGTCTCGTTTTCGGGGCGGTGCAGCTGGCCCCCCTGGGGGCCCCAAGATACCACCCCCGCCCTCGGCCAGGAGCCCTCGAAACCACCCGGGTTATGATCTTCCAACCTGCTTTAGCCTTGACCACCAGAAAGAATTTCGAGCACCAGAAGAAGTACCGAAACTCGAGGGTTGTCACGTGTCGGGCCTTGGGAGACACTGTTTCCACACTGTTTCGGCACTCTTTTGACACTTTCCCGGGTGCTCGAAATCATTTTCTGGCATGTGGTCCTTCAGTACGATGGGAGCAGCATAGCTAGGGGGCAAACAAACCTGCCTCGCTCTTGACCACCCTCGCTTCCAAGAGAGATACCAAGCGATGCCAAAGTATGGCCCGTACTGGGCGGGCCGCTTGACGAGGCGGCGCGTGGCACGACTTGGCCTTGCCCGGCAGCGAGAGCAGGGCAGGTCACTCACGCTCTGAATAGCACCAGGGTCGGTGGAAGGAGGAGAGTCGTATTCATATTGAGTAATTGTAGAGGGAGGGGGAGGAGGAGGAGGAGGAGGAGGAGGGAGGAGGAGGAGGAGGAGGAGGAGGAGGAGGAGGAGGGAGGAGGAGGGAGGAGGGAGGAGGGAGGAGGGAGGAGAGTGGAGGCGGGCTGCGCTGGGCCTCGGCGGGCCGCCGACGGCGCGCCGGCGGCGGCCTCGGCCCAGACGGCCTCGGCGGGCGGCTCGTGCTCGGCCCGGCGGCCCGTGCCGCGCGCCTCGGCGGCGGCCTCGCGGAGCGGGCGGCCCGAGCAGGCAGAGAGATGCCACCCTCCACCTCCTCCTCCACCTCCTCCTCTTCCTCCGCCTCCTCCTCCTTCTCAACCTCCTCCGCCCTCCTCCTCCTCCCTCCTCCTCCTCCTCCTCCTCCTCCTCCTCCCCCTCCCTCTACAATTACTCAGTATGAATACTACTCTCCTCCTTCCCCCGATGACGGGTTTGGATTGTTCGCCCCCCACCCCGCGTATGGTTTCTTTACACACAGGATTCCCCGTAGTTTGGTTTTCGCTCGCATTTTTTTTCAAAATGCCGCTCTCGCTGAGGCGCCAGCCTGATTTTCGGGCCCCGCTCGTTCCGAATGGTGCTCCCGCTGCAGCGCTGGCCTCATTTCCGTGCTTCCGCTCGTTCCGACTCGTGCTCCCGCTGCAGCGTTGGCCTCATTTCCGCGCTTCCGCTCGTTCCGAATCGTGCTCCCGCTGCAGCGCTGGCGTCATTTCCCGCGCCATGCCACGGCATGCACTGCAATGCTAGGTTGCGTTCCGCTGCGCGATGCCATGCCCTCAACTGAAGCTGTGATATGCAGTGCTTAAGTGCCACGTCGTGCTATGCCACACTACGCTTTGATCTTCAACGCCATGCTATGTAATGTTATGTTCGGGGCCGCTGTGCGATGCCATGCTTTGCGTTGCAAAGCATTGTGATGCAATTCTTCACTACGCCACGCCACGCCATGCTGTGACATCCTACGCTTTGCGGTGCTCTTCTGTGCCATGCCATGCCGTGCTCTACAATGCATCGCGTACCCTTTCGGGATCATCGCCCTGCTCGTCATCCGACTGTGCGAGTAGAGAGGGGATCTGCGCCATGGTCAGGGATGGGAGGGAGGGGTAGGATGTCAGATATGACGCGAGCGCACCTAGCTTGTCCTCCTCCCCCTCCTCCTCCTCCTCCTCCTCCTCCTCCTCCTCCTCCTCCTCCTCCTCCTCCTCCTTCCCCTCCCTCTCCCCCTCCCCCCCCCCCCCTCCCCCCTCCCCCCCCTCCCCCTCCCCTCCCCTTGAGTGTTGCTCCTGTAGGGGTGTTCGCCGCGCCCTGCGCCCGCCGAGGCCGACGAGGAGGGGAGGGCCCGCCTCCGGCGCAGGCGGCCCCGGAGGCGCCCGGGGGGGGGGGGGGCCGGGCCCGGGAGGAGGGAGGAAGAGGAGAGGGGAGGAGGAGGAGGAGGAGGGAGGAAGAGGAGGAGGAGGAGGAGGAGGAGGAGGGGGAGGAGGAGGAGGCGGAGGAGGAGGAGGAGGAGGAGGAGGAGGCGGAGGAGGAGGAGGAGGCGGACGGGCCGGGCGAGCGGCTGGGCCTTGGGGGCTCGCTGCTCGCGGCGGCAGGAGTTCGAGGATGGGGGGGGGACGTAAAACGACGCGAAGATCGGGACAGCATCGGATCGGGAGCACTCGAAATCCCCGAGAATCGGCGGCTTTGGAGGATGTGTTGGGCGCCGCGGCCGCTCCAGAGCGTTCCGGAACGCTCTGAGAGCGCTCTGGGACGCTCTGGAGCGATTTTTCCCGATCCTAGCCCCGTTTTAGGGGGGGGGGGGGACGGGTGCTCGGCTGGACAGGCGCTTGCAGGACAATCTTCGTTAACCGTTAGCCGCAGCAAGATGGGGAGGGGGGCGGGTGCTCGGCTGGAGAGGCGGTTGCAGGAGTAACCCCACGCCCGCGATGATAAATAATCCCCCCTCCTTCCCCCCTCTATGTTTGTAATCCCGTGCCAGTAGGATTTAGTTGTGGAGAGGGGCGCGAAGGCCGAACTTGATAATCCACGGGGGAAGTTGCGAATCGAAGCTGCTATCATCTCATGTTGGCTAGCGTTGAGCATGGCCATGGTGATCTCACCAGATCAGGTCTACAGGGTCAGTCTACACGAGCGCCCAGGATCATCATCATCATCATCATCATCATCATCATCATCATCATCATCATCATCATCATCATCGTCGTCGTCGTCGTCGTCGTCGTCGTCGTCGTCGTCGTCGTCGTCGTCGTTGTCATCAGCAACATAACTTATTGTCGTCTGCCTGGGGTTATCCTGTGATTATTGTCGTCTGCCCGGGGTTATCTTCAACAACCGTTAGCGGCAGCAGCGTTAGCAGCAGCAGCAGCATGGGGAGGGGGGGACGAAGGGGAGGCCGAGGACCGAGGACCGAGGGGGACGAGGACGAAGAGGACGCGGGGGGCGAGGGCGAAGAGGACGCGGGGGACGAGGGCGAAGGGGACGCGGGGGACGAGGGCGAAGGGGACGAGGGGGGGCGAGGGCGAAGGGGACGATAGGGGTACGCGGGCGAGGAGGACAGAGGACGAGGAGGACAGAGGACGAGGGGGACGAGGGGAGGTCGTGGAGGACGAGGTCGAGGAGGGCGCGGAGGACGAGGAGGGGAGGACGAGGGGGGGGGTCAAGGAGGACGAGGACGAAGAGGACGAGGAGGACAAGAACGGGGAGGACGAGGGGGAGGTCGAGGACGAGACAGGAGGACGGAGGACGAGGGTCACGAGAGGACTCTGAACGTCGAGAAAAACCGCGCAAGCATAAAAACTTCGCGGTGTAGCATGATCGCAAGTTGCCGCAGAGTAATCATCGAAGAGGAACAGATCTGCATACACATCATTGTTTTTGTTGGCACCTGTGCGGGTTCCTGAGATCTGCGCTGGACCCCCCCCCCCCCTGCGGCGCCTCCGGCGCCGCCCCTGGCGCGCTCCGCAGGTCAAAGAGGGGTACCCCAGATTTCGTAATAAAGGGAGGGGGGTCTCATTTCGGGGGGGGGGTCTTGGGACCACGTTTTGGAGGGTTCTCCCACGGGGGAGGTCTGAAATGGCTTGTCTTGGAGGGTCCAGACCCCCTCCCTTTTATTACGAAATCTGGAGTAGCTCGAGAACGAGCCAGGGGGACAGAGGAAAAAGGGGCACGCCGGCCCCGAGACCCGGGCGCTGCAGCTTTCGTGTCCGTGCGCGCTCCCGCTGGGCTTCGGGCGCCCCGGGACCCGCGCAGCTCGGCGCGGCTGGAAAGGTGCTCCAGATGTCGTAATAAAAGGGAGGGGGTCTGGACCCTCCAAGACAAGCCATTCCAGACCTCCCCCGTGGGAGAACCCTCCAAAACATCGTCCCCAGACGCCCCCAGGCCCTCCAAGATAGACTGGAAGAGACCCCCCCCCCGAAACGAGACCCCCCTGCCTTTTATTACGACATCTGGAGTGCAGCTGAAGGAGGGGGCCCGCCGGGCCCGCGGCTGGCTCCTGCTGCTGTGTTCCGCGAGGTTGCCATGTCTCCACGCCCGTCGGGCCGCAGGGGACGAGGGAGCCGAGGACGCCGGACGGAGCCGGACGCCTCTCACGACCCGGGGTGCCCGAAGCCAGCCTCCGGAGACTGCACACGGGGACGGAGCGCCCTTTCGAGCCTCGGGCGGTGTTGGCCCGCGGGCCTCGAGCAGGGGGCACCGCACCCGGAGCGCCACGCCCGCGGGGGCTCGGACCCTCCACAGTCGAAAACCGCATCGCTGGGACGAGCAGCTTTCCAAGGCTTGCCCTTGCCTCCTTCCTCGTCGGCCCCTCCTCGGCCGCGCTCGCTGACCGCGCCCCGCTCGCAGGGTGCCGACGTGGCTTTCCGAGGCCCCCGTCGTATGTGTCCTTCTTATCCGGGTGAACTGTGCAGGGGAGAGGCTGGGGGGCACCCCGACTTGGCCTGAAGTCGGGCGTGTCTCCCTACAGGGGGATGTTCGACGAAAAATGAAAAAATACCCCCAAAAAATACCCCAAGAAGGTCAAACAATAGTCAACAAAGAGTCCCCCGACTATGTTTGGACTATTTTTCCAATTATGTTGGTGGTATTTGTTTCACTTCTCGTCGAACATCCCCCTGTACGGGGACAGGCCCGACTTCAACCTGGCCGCGTGGGCTCGCCCGGGGGAGCGCAGGAGCCCCGGCGCCCGAGGCGGAGCGCCACGCCCGCACGGGCGGTGCCGCCCCGTCGAGCGGCGGCGCGCTCCGAGCACCACTCAGGAGAGGAAAAAACACACAGACACAATCAATCTTCGATTCCTCAGAAAATATGGGAAAATATGGGAAGCGGGGGGGAAGACAGAAACCCAGAGAATATGGGAAAATATGGGGAATCCTTTTATTTGTGTGTATTTATTTGTGTGTCCTGGGGCCCCTTCAACCACCCCCTCGCCCCTGGGCGGCGCGGGCAGGCTGCCCTCGGCGGCGAGCTGCTCGAGCGGCGAGGGCGCAGGGCGCGCAGCTCCGTGGGCGGCGAGCTCCGAGCCCTGCCCTCGCCGATCGGCGACGCGTGGCGTCACTTCAAACGACGCGAAGATCGAGACAAAATCGGATCGGGATAACTCGAAATCTCTGAGATTCGGCGGGTTTGGAGGATGTGTTGGGCGCCGCGGCCGCTCCAGAGCGTTCCAGAACGCTCTGAGAGCGCTCCGGAACGCTCTGGAGCGATTTATCCCGATCCTAGCCCTGTTTTATCACTGTGCTGGGCCCCCCAGCAGGCCTCGAAAGTGGCGACAGTTTCACAGATCGCAGCCCCCCAGGGATGGCGAGGTCTAAGTTGGGTCCGGATGGGCGGCCGGGGTCGCAGCCCGCCCGCCTCGTGAGGGTGAGCAGCTCTCCAGGGCTACAGTCGGGGCGCTGAAGAAGGAGTTCTTTTCGTTGGGGAGGGGCTCGGTGTTCCCTGATTGTTCCACACCTTGCCCAAGGTTTTCTCTAAGCTTTGGATGGGAATGCGAAGGCTAACTAATGAAAAAAGGGGGCCTCGTTCCTTATTTAGGGTTCCTTAGGTCAACGCCTCGACTGTAACTGCCTCTGCATGCTTCCCCTTCGGCCCACCGGCCTCTCTCGCTGGCCCGCGCCCCGATCAGCGGCGAGGGGGGGGTCCGACAGGCGACCGGATCGATCGGCGAGGGGAGGCTTCGGAGCCCGATCGGCGGCGAGCTCCGAGCCCCACCCTGTCCTTGCTCCATCGGCGGCGAGTGGCGAACTCCACACTGGTTGCCATCGCCCACCCTTGCAGGGCTTGTTTCGATTCCTCCGATTCGATTCGATTCGATTTCGGTGGCTTCCGATTCCGATTCGATTCGACTTCGGATTCCGATTTGGACTCCGATTCTTTACTGAATGCATTTTAGCTTGCCGATTTCCGCCGATTCGACTTCTCCCGACGCGGCTGCCGATGCCCGTCGATGCGACCCATTTCGATCGCCGATCCGACTTATCGATTCGATGTTGGACTCTCCTGCCCTTGGCCGCTTTCGCTGGCTGGGCCCCGCTCGCAAAGTGTCGACATGATCTCCCAGGGCCCTTGCACCCTTGTTTGGCGTCCTTACTGTGCGAGCGAACTGCACCCTCGCCGAGCAAGGATCCAGGCAACTCGAAGGGCGACCGGGGTTAGGGCTCGGAGTTCGTCGAGCACATGGCGACATCCGAGCCCCAGTTGCTCCCCCCCCCGCCTCCCATCGGCTCAGGAGGTCGAAGCTGCGTGGAACAGAGTTCGGGTGTCGTCACCCATAATCTCAGGAGGGAACAAAAATGTACAGACACCATTCATCGTCGATTCCCCAGAAAGTATTGGAAACTACGGGAAGTGGGGGGGAAAACAAAACCCAGAAAATATGGGAACATATGGGGAATCCTGTTATTCTTTGTCTATTTATTTATGCGTCCCGGGGCCCCTTCATAATCGGGAGGGGCGGTGCCCCCTGCTTGGGCGACGCGCGCCCGGAGGTGCCCTGTTGGGCAAAAACAGGTGCACGGGCACGCACATAGCCGCTGACCTTAGTGCGAACCTGGGGGCCAGTGACAACTGGAAGGGAAGAGATCGGGGGTGGACAGAACCCCCAACAGTGACACGTGGATTAGTGAATTGTCCGTGTTTGGTTCTCGAGAGGGCGCCGTGGCCGTTATTTTCCAGGCTTGCACCCGCCAGGTTTGGGCCTCAGGTCGTTTCACTAAACCACGTTTTACCAAAGGGGGGTTTGTCCATCCCCGAAGAGAGGAGCATCCAGGAGCAGGCGAACAAGATCGGGGGGGGGCTAGGATGAGGACAGGTCCGCTCCAGAGCGTTCCGTAACGCCCTCGGAGCGTTGCAGACCGCTCTGAGAAGGCCGCGGCGCCGGAGACATCCTCCAGAGCCGCCGGATCTCAGCGATCCTCGATTCGTCCCCGTCCGATGTGATCCTCGCCTCGCCTCCGTCCTACGATATGGGAGCTGCTGAGCAGTAGCCGGAAAGTCCGGGGATCTGTACCGATGTCTGAGCGTCTAGGCTTCCTAGATGGGTTCCGAGTAGATGGGGTCGGAGGATCGCGTCGCATCGCCGATGCATCGGCGATGCGGCTCGATGCGGGGCCCGATGTTCTTCGCGCCGGCGTCGCCGATGAAGCGACGACGTCGACGATGTATCGCCGGTGCACCACCGATGCATCGCCGATGCATTGCCGATGCATCGCCGATGTATCGGCGATACGGTGCGATCCACCGACCCCATCTTCGGGGGTGGACAGAACCCCCAACAGTGACACGTCGATTAGTGAATTGTCCGTTTTCGGTTCCCGAGAGGGCGCCGTGGCCGTTACTTTCCAGGCTTGCGCCCGCCAGGTTTGGGCCTCGGGTCGTTTTCACTAAACCACGTTTTACTAAAGGGGGGTCTGTCCATCCCCGACATCTACTCCGTCCCCATCTAGGAGGCCTCTAGAGCGTCCCCCTGGGCCCCGCTAGGCGCCGACGGCAGCCCCGGCGCCCCCTGCGGAGGCGGCCGCGGCGGCGCCGCCGCAGCCCGCCGGGGCCGCGGGGCCGAGCGGCGAGGCGGGCGGCCGCGGGGGCCCGCCGCAGGTCGCTGCCGCGGCGTCGTCGTCGTCGCCGCCGCCGCCGCGCCCGCCGCCGCCGCCTCAGACGTGATCGCGTCGTCGTCGTCGTCGTTGTCCTCGTCGTCGTCGTCGTCGCGGTTTTTGTCGTCGTCGTCGTCGTCGTCGTCGTGGTCGTCGTCGTCGTCGTCCTCGTCGTCGTCGTCGCGGTTGTCGTCGTCGTCGTCGTCCGCGTCGTCTGTCGTCCTCGTCGTCGGCAGCGTCGTCGTCGTCGTGGCTGCAGCTCCAGACACGATCGCGTCGTGCAGAATTCGCAGCGGGAGGTTATTGGCCTTTTTCGGTCTCCAGGGGCTTTCGTTTCGGGCCCCCACCCTTTCCACGGCTTTATCTTCTCGCATCCACTTCATCAGCCTTCTCCTCTTCTCATTAAATTGTTTGGCGATATCGATCCTTGTGGAACCGTGGAAAAGTAAAATGAGTAGCGGGATCGTGAGATTTTCCACCATTCCATTGCACCCCTTGAATATTACATTTCTCGCTCTCTCATTCCACTTACTCGTTCTACTCTTCTCATGATTTCGTTTGCGGCCCGCGAGTCGTGTGTAAGATATCTGGCAGGGTCTGCGGCTCCGATCGGAGCGTGGCCGCCCTTCTGGTGCTCCAGAAGCATGGACGGGGATAGAATATTCCAATGTGTCATCGATCGAACCCCGAAGATTACTCTCTCTCTCTCTCTCTTTTCATATATATATCATCGGTTGGCCATACTATCAAGTTGTTCACTGTTCACGTCGATCGGCTGCAAGACACGCAATCGAAACGCTGATTATGTGTTGTTGCGAAGAGCCGCGCAGCGACTGCAATGTCATGTTGATCAGTTACCATGTTGTGTTCACGCGGCACGGTTGTTTGCATTTCGCAAGCGTGTGACTTCCGAGCAAACAGTGCGTTTAACATACCGCGGTACAATGAACGAAACTGCATTGTAATGCATGTGTGTTATATGTATACTGCATGAATTCAAGATCGATGCGTGACATGTTAAACAACATGTCACTTAAGCTCCGAATGTAAGATCTAACAGACCCCACGGTCGGATAGTTTCTCGGGGGGGCGCGCATTGCAAACTTCAGGACGCCGCACGTTTCGGGCCCCGCGCCGGCGGAGCACGGGGCCGCCCGGTGGCCGTCCGGGGGGACGCGTCCTGGTCGAGGTTGTCGCCGTCGATGTGGTCGCCGTGGTTGTCGTCGCCGTCGCCGTTGTCGCCGTCGCCGTCGCCGTCGCTTGGCCGCCGTGCGTCGCCGCGGCCGCTCCCGCCGCTCGTGCCCGCCGCCTCTGCCCGCCGCCGCCTCTGCCCCGAGGCGCCGGGGCCGCCGGCGGCACCGGCGGCGGCGGCCGCGGAGGCGCCCGCGGCGGGGGCCGCCGCTGCTGGGGCCCCCGAGGCCGCGGAGGCGGACCGGGGCAGGGGCCTCCTCCTCCCTCCTCCTCCCTCCTCCTCCCTCCTCCTCCCTCCTCCTCCCTCCTCCTCCCTCCTCCTCCCTCCTCTTCCCTCCTCCTCCTCCCTCCTCCTCCCTCCTCCTCCCTCCTCCCTCCTCCCTGGATTACGTACAGTCGGGGCCCTGAAGAAGGAACCCTTTTGGTTGGGGAGGGGCTCCGCGTTCCTGAAGTGTGTTCACAGCTTGCCTAAGGTTTTCCTCATGTTTTCGATAGGAGATCGAGGTTTCACTTGTGGAAAAAAAGGGCCTCGTTGCTTATTTAGGGTTCCTTAGGTCAACGCCCCGACTGTAATCAACTGCGAAGGCCTGGCGGCCAGTGCCGCCGACCCTGAAGGGGAACGACGACAACGGCGGCGGCGACGACGACGACGCTGGCGTGGGTCAGAGTCTTCATGGATGCTTGTTGGGGTCCCTTCGAAGTGCTGTCGGGGGCCTCTGGTGAACAGTCTATGAGGCGTGTTGGGCCGTTTTGGGGGCCCTCTGGGGCCGTATCGGGTCCCTCCTGAGCCGTCTTGGGCGGTCTGGGGGCGACCGGGGGGGCCTCTTGGGCCGCCTTGGAGCGTCGGGAAGCGGAACAGGCGAGAACGCCGAAATGTTTCAAAACCCATTTGGGATCAGCGACTTTTCCTCGTGGGGTCCTCTTTCGGAGTGGTCATGGAGGCCTCTCAGCGTGTCGTGCAGGGCTCCTTGGGCCGTCTGGAGGCCGTGAAGGCGTGTTGGACAGATCGTTCGGCGATTTGGGGCCCCCCCTGGACCGCCCGAGGGGCCTCCTGGGGCACTCCTGGCCCGTCGTGGGGCTTCTTGGGCCCCGGGACCCGCCGGGGGGCGGTCGTGTCTGACCCGGGAGCCCCCCCCGGGACCTGCCCACGGGACTCCCCCCCTCTGGCGGGGGAGGGATCAAAGGGAAGGGGCTTCCTGTCGAGTCAAGTACGACGTTGCTCAATCTCGCTTTGGCTGGCGCGCTGGAGGTGGAGGGCCCAGGGAGGGGGGATGGAGCGGCGACGGGCCCAGCGCTTGAGGAGGAGGGCCCATGGACAGGGGGGAAGGGAGCGGCGACAGGCCCAGGCAAAGGTGGGGCGCAGGGAAAGGGGGCGACAGGGACGACGACGAACGGATGACGGAGGCGACACGTCGAACGGACAAGCCCCTGACACACGCCGACGGGGTCGGCGGATGACGGGAAGCGTCTTCGAGGAACGAGAAGCGAGCTGGACGTTTTGGCTGAATCCTCCTCATATCAGTAAGAGATATCTTAACTATAGGGGGTTGCGGATTGCACGGGGAAGAGGCTTAGCGGATTTCTCGGGATGGCGATTTCGCGTGAGACATTTTCACAAAATGAAATCTTCGCGACATCGCGTTTAACAAAAACAAGCGTTTCGCTCGAGACATCCTCGAACAGTTGATGACAACGAAATTTGGCCGTCTGTGAAAATTAGCGTTTCGCTCGGGACATCCTCGCAAAACAATGAGATGACGACTGAAGTCTTTAACTAACTCTTATGTTAAGAATTGCGATTTCGCTAGGGACATCCTCAGAAAACGAGCGGCAGCACGGCGGACCAGAACGAAGAGCACGGCAGAAAATTTGCATTTCGCTAGGGACATCCTCAACAAAATGAGATGTCCTCAACGTCGTCTTGATCTCGTTCTCGAAGTACCTCAAGATGACGAAATGAGAGGCCAAAAAGCACGTCAAGAAGGCTGTCAGAACGATTGGGGGACTTCCGAAAATAGCGATTTCGCTAGGGACATCCTCGAAAAGTGAAAACATACACCAGCATCGACTTGAAAACTGTTGTTCTTACATAGTTTTGACTTTGCTTCTGAAAAGGCTTCCAGACGGCCCAAGGCAGCCTTCTAAAAATGTCGATTTCGGTAGGGACATCCTCAAACAGTTGATGCGTGCGACGTCGCATCGTAATGATTTTAGGAGGGCATCAGGAAGCAAAAGAAGGCCACAACATGGCCCCAAGAGCGCCCTTAAGGTTGCTGAAAATAGTGATTTCGCTAGGGACATCTTCAAACAAATAACAAATCGAACAACATCGTTTTGAAAACTGCTGTTTTAACATCGTCTGGGGATCGCTCCTGAAAAGGCTTCTAGATGGTTTAAGCCAGTCATCTAAAAATGACGATTTCGCTAGGGACATCCTGAAAAAATGAATGTGTGTAACATCGGACTGTAACGGTTTTGTAAGGCATCAAGAAGGCCCCCAAAGGCTCCAAACAAGCCCAAATTTGACCCCCAGGAGCGCCCTCGAGACGATCCAAAATGGCGATTTCGTCTGAGACATCCTGACAAAAATGAAATGTTCACAACATCGATTTCATCAAAAATGAGCGTTTCGCCTGAGACATCCCTTAAACATGGGAACCCGCGAGTTCGACAGATGTTCAAACACTAGCGTCTCGCCTGAGACATCCTAACAAAAATGATGTCTTGGAGTGGCGGTTTCAATACCTCTCATGTTTAAAATCGCGCTCTCGCTGCATACAGCCTCAAAACAATCCCGCGGGGCATGGCCGGCGAAAAAAGTGCTCATTCGTTCTTCACGTCTATTTTGCCGTGCTCTTTCGTTCTTGGGGTCTATTCTGAAATGCTCCTTGTCTTTTTGTGCCGTGCGCCTTCGCACTTGGGGCATATTCTGCCGTGTTCCTGGCCAGTTTCTGTCACAATCCTTGTTCTTGGGGCTTATGATGCCGTGCTCCTGGTCGTTTTCTGCCGTGCTTCTTAGCTCTTGGGGCATATTCTGCCGTGCCCCTTCGCTTTCGGGGTTTATACTGCCGTGCTCCTTGTGTATTTCTTGCATACTCCTTCTTCCTTGGGGCGTATTATGCTGTATTATTGCATCTATCTTGCCGTGCTCCTTAGCTCTCGCGATCTATTCTGCCGTGCTCCTGGTCACTGGTCGTGTTTTGCAATGCTCCTTCTTTCCTGGCGCCTATTCTGCCGTGCTCCTCAGCTCTTGGGGTCTATCTGCCGTGCTCCTGTTTTTTGTTTCTGTCATGCTAATTCGCTCTTGGGGCCTCTTCTGCCGTGCTCCTCAGCTCTTGGGGTCTATTTTGCCGTGCTCATTGTTTTTTCTGCCGTGCTCCTTCGCTCATGGTGCCTATTCTGCCGTGCTCCTGGTCTTTTTCTGCCGTGCTCCTTAGCTCTGGGGTCTATTCTGCCGTGGTCCTGGTCGAATTCTGCCGTGCCCCTGAGCTCTGGGGGTCTATTCTGCCGTGCTCCTGGTCATTTTCTGCCGTGCTTCTTCGCACTTGTGGCATCTTCTGCCGTGCTCCTTGTCTCTTGGGTTCTATTCTGCCGTGCTCCTCGTCTTTTTCTGGTTTGCTCCTTCGCTCTTCGGGCCTATTCTGCCGTGCTCCTGGTCTTTTCTGTCGTACTCCTTGGCTCCTCGGGCCTTTTCTGCTGTGTTTCGGTTTTTTTCTGCCGTTGTCCTTAGCTCTTGGGGCATCTTCTGCCGTCCTCCTGGTTTTTTTCTGGCGTCTTTCTCGTTCTTGGGGCCTATTATGCCGTGCTCCTTAGCTCTTGGGGTATATTCTGCCGTGCTCCTGGTCTTTTTCTGCCGTGCTCGGCAGCTCTTGGAGTCTATTCTGCCATGCTCCTGGTTTGTTTCCGACGTGCTCCTTCGCTCATGGGGCCTATTCTGCTGTGCTCCTGGTCTTTGTCTGCCGTGCTCCTGTTTTTTTTTCTGCCGTGCTCCTTCGCACTTGGGGCATATTCTGCCGTGTTCCTTGTCTCTTGGGTTCTATTCTGCTGTGCTCCTCGTCTTTTTCTGGTTTGCTCCTTCGCTCTTGGGGTCTATTTTCCCGCACTCCTTCAGCTCTCGGGGTCTACTCTGACGTGCTTCTTTTTTTCTGCCGTGCTCCTTCGCTCTTGGGGCCTATTCTGCCGTGCTCCTGGTCATTCTCTGCCGTGCTCCTTAGCTTTTTGGGTCTATCCTGCCGTGCTCCTGGTCTTTCTCTGCCGTACTCCTTCGCACTTGAGGCATATCCAGCCCTGCTCCTTAGCTCCTGGGGTCTATTTTGCCGTGCTCCTGGTATTTTTCTGCCGTGCTCCTTCGCTCTTGGGGTCTAATCTGCCGCGCTCCTGGTCTTTTTTCTGCCTGCTCCTTAGCTCTTGAGGTCTATTCTGCCGTGCTCCTGGTAATTTCCTGCCGTGCTCCTTAGCTTTTGGGGTGCATTCTGCCGTACTCATTTGCTCTTGGGGTCTATTCTGCCGTGTTCCTTGTCTTTCTCTGCCGTGCTCCTTCGCTTTTGGGGCCTATTCTGCCGTGTTCCTCATCTTTTTCTGCCGCGTGCGCCCAGAAGCTCTGCCAAAACGACCACCGCGACGATCCGCACGGCAGATACAGGAACACGGCAGAACACACAGAGCACACAGAGGCACGGCAGAACACAGGAGCACGGCAGAACAGGAGCGCGGCAGAACATGCAGGAGCACCGCAAAACACACCCCGCACGCACGCCGACACGCGCGCCACGGCATGCCTGCGCGGCATAACAACAACAGAGCATCTTCCACATGCTTGGTGGACTGAAGCGACGCTTCCCGTTCTTGTCCGGTCAGGCTTACCCGCGGTCGCCTCGGCCCCGAGGCGCCGGCGGCGCCTGGGCCGGCGGCGGCGGCCGCGGCGGCCGCGGAGGCACCCGCGGCGGGGGCGGCTGCCGCAGGGGCCCCCGCGGCCGCGGAGGCGGACCGGGGGGAGGGCGGGGGCCCAGCTTCGGGAGCCTTGAGACGGGGGTCAGTGCAAACGGGGGCCAGCCACGGCACTGGATCCTGCAGGATCCTGCGAAGACCCCCTCTGGCTGACCTGGGTTAGCGAGCCGCTCGTGGCCGCGAGGCGGCCGCACATATTGGCTGACCCGGGTTTGCGAAGACCTGCGTTGCAGTTTTTTTTTCCTGCATTGCAATTTTTGGTTTTCTGCTGACCCGGGTCTGGATTGACCCGGGTCAGAAGATCCCCGACAGCTCGGGGCTCAAGTCCACGTTTCCTTGGTCTTGGTATCGCTCGGACGTGTGCACTTTTTCTCGGCGGGGATGATTCAGGAGCGTCCTGGATCATCCTGCGAGAGAAAAGCACGCGCGTAACCGGGGAAGAAAGCAGGGACTGGACGTCCGAGCGCTGGCCAAAGATGTGTCGGCGACTACAAAGGGTGTAGTTACGCCGGGGTGTGGTTTGCGATCGGCAGGTCGGGGCCCGGGCGGCACGACGCTGTCCTCGTCGGGCCTCCTCGGGGCGCGGCGGAGAGCTCTGTCGCGGTCCTCCTCCGCCCCCCAGGGTGCCCTTCATGGTGCGGGTTGCAAACCACACCCTTCGCAAACCACACCCTTCAGAGTCGCCGAATGGGGTCCGAATAGATGGGGTTGGAGGATCGCGCCTCATCGCCGATGCATGGCCGATGCGGCTCGATGTGGAGCCACATGGTCTCCGCGCCGACGTCGCCGATGCACCGGCGATGCATGGGTGATGCGGCGCGATCCTTGGACCCCATCTACTCGGACCCCATCTAGGATGCCTCTATCAAAGGACGAGTAAGGAAACGACTGCAGAATCGATCTATCCCAGAAGTGATTTGCTCGTCGGATCGCGGCTCGGTCGGTTCGGTTCGGTCGGTTTTGGTTTCACTGCCGCGTCGATCTCGTTTGCGCCCTTTCGGCCTGTCGATCTCGGTTGATTTCGGTTTCGCTGTCGGTTCGGCGGGTTTTCGGTTTTGCTGTCACCGTGCAAGGACTCGGGACAAAGAGTCGGTCCTGCAGATGGGCGGATCCCCTGGGGGCCCAGGACGACGGATCGGGAAGTGGGAGGTGCAGCGGGGGGAAGGGGTGGGTCTGAGCCTCACAGGCTCCCAGCTGAGGTCAGAGAAGATGGGGTCGGAGGATCTCGCCGCATCAACGATGCATCGGCGATGCAGCTCGATATGAAACCAGAGTTCCTCCACGCCGATGGTGCCGATGCATCGCCGACGTTGCCGATGCAATGGCGATGCGTTGGCAGTGCATCGCCGATGCATCGGCGATGCATTGGCGATGCGACGCAGTCCTCCGACCCCATCGATTCGGACCTCATCTAGGATGCCTCTATCAAGGGATGAGTGAGGGATCGACTGCAGGACCGATTTAGCCCAGAAGTGATCTGCTCGTGGGATCTATTTTTCAAATAAGTATAATGCTCCGTCGATCTACGAACATGCTACCTATTTCTCGTAAATTCGACGGGCAAATCAATTTCGGACCCCATTGGGGAGGCCTCTAGTGGAGGGGGTCCCCCCCAGCGGCGCGCCCTCGGGCAGCCTGATCAGTGGACAGCTCTGGTGTCCCACAGCGGACACCCGTGGGCGACACATGTTGCCTGGCTTGGCCCTACAGTGGAGGCCCATGCCAAGAGACACCCTCCTTGTCGCCAGGGTGCCCTGGGTTTCTTGGGGTTCAATGGTTTTGCCACGGAAATCGTGGCGTTCCCACGCCACAAATCAATGGACGCCTTGGGGTCTCAGGGTTGGGTTTCTTGTGGAAAGTTGTTTGTGGCCGAGCCCCTACTGTATCTTTGACCGACAATTCAGCGTCCTCGCGCAAATGTGCCTCGCCAAAGCGACGCGAAACCGACACCGACTGCCACGTTGGGTTCATTTTGTGTTCGCCCTCCAGCCTACAGGAAACAGCTGTGTTTCGTATTGCGTGTTTCACAGTAAACAGGAATGTCTTTTGGGGGGTTCTGGCCCCGGCATATCGAAGCCGCCTACGGCGAATCGCCGCCGCCACCTGCCTGTCGGAATAGCCCCTGTGGTCGAGCGTTGTGGCAAAAGCTCTGCCAAGCTATCGGACCATGTTTTCGCCCAGCCGTTGTGGAAACCCTTCGGGGAACACTTGTAGGGGGGGGAGGATGGCAGAGGAGATGATGATGAAGGTGATGATGATGATGAGGAGGAGGAGGAGGAGGAGGAGGAGGATGGAGGATGGAGGATGGAGGATGGAGGATGGAGGATGGAGGATGGAGGATGGAGGATGAGGATGAGGATGAGGATGAGGATGAGGATGAGGATGAGGATGAGGATGATGGATGAGGATGAGGATGAGGATGAGGATGAGGATGAGGATGAGGATGAGGATGAGGATGAGGATGAGGATGAGGATGAGGATGAGGATGAGGATAAGGATGAGGAGGAGGAGGAGGAGGAGGAGGAGGAGGAGGATGAGGATGAGGAGGAGGATGAGGAGGAGGAGACTCTGGGGGCACTCTTGTGGCCTCCTTGGAGCTTCCTGGGAGCCTCTTGGAGGCATATTGGGGGCCTCTTTGGGCCTCTTGGGGGCCTGCTGGGGCTTTCTCGGGAGCCTCTTTGGCCGTTCGAGGGCAGTCCTGGCCCGTTTGACGTCGTCGGACGCCGTCTGGGGGGGCCTCTCTGGGCCGACTTGTTGGGGCCCTCTTGGGGAAGTCCAGGGCCCCTACGAGGCCATCTTGGGCGTCTTGGAGGCCTCGTGGGCCGTCCTGGGACCCTCTTGGGGCTGTCTCGGGGGCCTCTTGGATCGTTCTGGGGCCATCCTGGAGGCCTCTTGAGCGATCTTTTGCCGGTCTCTGGAGGCTCTTGGGCCGTGCCGGGCCGTCGGACGGCCGGCAAGAAGCAACTGCCAATATCCTTCAACAGACCTAAGGCAAATCAATAATTTGGGCCTCTTCGGGCCTTCTGCAAGTACTCTTGGAGACCTCTGGTGCCGGCTTGTAGACCTCTTCGGGGCCTCTTGGGCCGTCTTGGGCCATCTCGGAGCCGTTTTGGGCCGTCTTGGTGGGTTCCTGGCCCATGAGACGCCGTCGGAAGCCTTCTTGCGGGCCTCGCTGGGCCGACTTGGGGCCGGGCCTCAACTGCTCATCGGAAGCGCAAAGGCGAGACGGCCAAACAGATTGATGTTCCATAGTTTCTGGAAGGATCTCAGCCTCTTCAGAGGCGCCCTTGAAGGGTCGGAGGGCACCTGGAACCGTACTGGAGCTGTCTCGAGGCCTCTTGGAGGAATGTCGGAGGCTATCTTGACCATTTTGAGCCATCTTGAAGACCATCTTGGGCCATGGGCCATGACTGTACATTGGAGTCATGTTGAGGCTTCTTGAGCCATCTCAGAGGCCATCTTGGGCTCTCTCAGGCCCTTTCGGTGCCATCTTGGACCGAAACAAATACTCTGTTACACGGCGGCGTGCCCAGGCCCAACCCAGGGGAGGGGGTAATTAGGAGAAGGGGTAAACCCCTCCACCAAACAGGTGAGAGAAGCATTGGCATAGAGAAGTCAAAACTCGTGAAACCACCGACGTTCAAAGGGCTGGCGGGATTTCTTCCCCGCCCAGCAGTTGAATCCGTATTGATGAAGGTATGACAGTCGTACCCAGTGACGTGAAAATGGCCCATCAGTAAAAGCCTAGCCATCCTAGGAGCCTGTAGCGTCGTCGCGAATCTTCCCCCAGTTGAGATATCAGGATGTTGTTGCACCTTTCTTTAGAGTATCATCAAGGTCAATGGGGCCATGCCAAGAGTCCAAATTGGTCTCCCTGTCGTCATGTGATCGGATTTGGGCAATCTTGGGGCACCGTAAGGGTGATCTCGGGTCCATTGTGCCACAGTGGCATAATGCTGGGCCCGTCTCGGGGACGTCGTGTGGCTGCCCTGGGATACGCGGATGGTCTTGGGGTCGTTTGGGGCCCTCTCTGGGGTCGTCAGTGTTACACCTCGGGGCTACAGGGTTATGCTGGGATCGTCCTTAGATCATGTTCGGGTCATAGGTGCCTTGAGGTCATGGGATCCTGCCGGGGTCATCTTGGATTTGTCCTGAAGACCACCTTGGGGCCACCTGGTAGGTTTCGACGAGCACCGTGGCCCGCGATGGCCAAGCCAGGCCCGCGCACAGCAGACGGTGGCCACCTGAGATGGTGTCTGGGCAATTGTGTCACGATGGCCCTGCCCCGCCACTGGGGGGGCGGGTCTGCCTCCAGCCGTCGGTGGCACGGCGACTGGGGGTCTGGGTTCTGACTGGCGCAGTGCCCGCCGCTGCCGCTGCCGTGGCAGCCGCTGCCGTTGCCGTGGCCAGCGCCGCTGCCGCCGCCGCTGCTGCCGCGGCTGCCGCTGACGCGGCCGCCGCTGCCGCCGTCGCCGCCGACGCAACTGCCGCCGCCGCCGCCGTGTCCTCGTCGTCGTCGTCGTCGTCATCGTCGTCGTCTCGCCTGGCTCGCGCCGCTGCGCGCTGCCCGCGAGGCGCCGCAGGGCCCCTCGGCTCCCGTGGCCGTGCGCATCCAGGCCGGCTGCGCATCCCGCTGCTGGCATCGCAGCCGGTCTCGCTCGGCTGCGCGTGCTCAGTGGACCCTTTTCGGCGGAGCGGCCCTCCGGGTGTGCGGCTTTCGTGGGGTCTCTCTCAAGCAGTGGCAAAGCGTCCTGGCGTGCCTATAGGCCTACCAAACAATATTCTAAGAACTTTTTGTGGTTTCCACGGAGTGTTCGTAGAGCATGTCTTGCTGGGACTGTCTTGTTTGAACACATCGGGTTACGTTATAAGAGCACTGTTTTTGTTATTCCAGCATTTTTGGGTTAGAAGAACAAGTCGTGGTAGGCCTATAGGAATGCCGGGGCGGTCGGTCCCTGCTCAATTCGTGGGGTCTCTCGTTTTGCCGATTGGCGCGGGCCCTCGCACCCCCCACACTCCCCCCCCCAATGAAGTTCAGAGGAGGAAAATGTACCCATACCTCTACCCACTTGCCCGTTTTCCTCTTTTTGGGCCTCCTCGGAGGCCCTCGTCGCCCCCATCGGAGTCGCCTCGAATTCCCGGTCAGAACGCACCCCGCGAGAGGTCCGGGAAGTAGCGGTATCGGTACCTGTTGGTTTTGTCCACCCATGGAGTGGATTTTGGCTGATTTCGGCGCCTGTTTCGAGCGAGTGGAGTCTCCCCCAGAGGCCGCTCACTTCCAAGCAGCCGCACCAAGCAGAGGTCCAGAACCAGACCCCCGCCCCCCCTCCCCCTTCCGCCCAGTGTCGAAATGCCTAGTAAAACGTTGACTAGGGGAGCGAACAACGACACAAACATGAAAATTCTGAGGTCCGCGCGGTGTCTCGGATCCGCGCCAGGGGTTCCAGCGCCGATCAGAGAAATCCGCATGGACCTCAGAGTTGTTTGTTCATGTCATTGTTCCCCGACTCTAGGCCTCCCAGAGGGGGCCCGAGTAGTTGGAGTCGGAGGACCGCGTTGCATCGCCGATGCATCGGCGATGCGGCTCGTTTTGGAGCCCGACGTTCTCCATCCAGCCGTCGCCGATGCATCGCCGGCGCCAGCGATGCATCGCCGATGCGTCGGCGATGTGGCACGATCGTCCGACCACATCTACTCGGACCCGATTTGGGAGGCCTCTGGTAGGGCCTCGTGGCGGCTGGAGCCCTTTGGCACACGGGCTGCTACTGCGCGTCGCGCGCAACGATCGGCGGGCCGCGCAACAGAGGTCACTCTTGCCTCGGGCCACTCGTGCGTGTGGCCGAGTCACCGTCGTCGGCCGTCCTCGCTGGCGCTCTTCTCGCATGATCATCGTTCGAGGATATCGAAATCTGAGGGCGTTGTTTTAATCTTTTTGGGGACCTTTTGGGGGCTTCTCGTCACCACGGCAGGATCCGCTTCGACATTCTGATCAGAAAGCACCTCTGGACAGGTCGGAGGGGACGATTTATTGCCCCCGAACCCGACGTTGTGAGAAAATAACCACGGATGGCTTTTGGCTAGTTTTGGCATCTGAGGGCCCTTCAAAGGCCACGGGGCCGTCAAAAGCAATTCGGGGCGAAAAGCTAATCAGCTCTCGGGAAGAATTCGAGTCCTCTGGGGGTCCACGTTGTGATCAAACTACGACGTCGGGGAAGGGGGAATTGACGAGGCGGTTCGAGTGAGCTCGATGGCCACTGAGAGGGATCCAAACAGGCTCGCGGGCGGAAGCGCCTTCGAGAGTCCCTCCCCACCCCCCTCGCCGTCGTCGTCGTCTTGCTTACCCCTCGGCTGGCCTGCTCATCGGAAAAGTCCGAGGGGGCTCTTTCCTTGTGCAAGGGAGGGCCTCGTGAGCCAACGAGTGCTCTTTGAGACAAGGCCACTCTCGCGCACTAGGGGAGGAGCATGACGAGGAGGATGATGGAGAGGAAGAGGTGGAGGAGGATAAAGGGGGAGGGGATGGAGTAGAAGGAGGAGGAGACGGAGGAGGAGGAGGAAAAGCATGAAGACCAGCACGAGCAGGAGAAGCCGGAGGATAAGGAGGAACATGAGGAGGAGGACGAGGACGAGGACGTGGACGAGGGCAGGGCCGAGAGGGGTGGATGAGGACGACGACGGCGACGACGAGTGCGAGCAAGAGGAGGACGAACACGAAGAGGAGGAGGAAGAGGAGGAGGGGGAGGTGGAAGAAGAGGATGAGGAGAAGGAGGAGGACCAGTGTGAACCCAAGAGTCATCAACGATGTTGGAATGAACCCTCCATCCAAGCTCGCTCTTCACAGGCCCCTGCAACGGTTCATTTCCTCTGAGGCAACTACCTCGTTGGAAGACAACCGTTTGAAGACCCTGAAGTATCCCAAAACATGGTTCTCGGGATTCTAACGCCACGGGTCCACTGGACTGTTGCGCCTTGACCATCTGGAATCGCGCCAGAACGCCATTCTTGGCACTTCAACACCGCGAATCAACATAACCGTTGCACACTCATATCCCGAATCCTTCCAAAACGCCATTTCTTGTACGCTGGTCATGGCAATCCGTCAAGCTCTTGGGCGAGAGCCACATGTTGAAAAGGAGCTGCCCTCAATCCGTGAAGCCCTTGCAAAAGTTTGAAGAGAATGTGCGTGGCGCTAAGGCGAGAACCACATTTTGAAAACGACTCGCCTTCAATCCGTGAAACTCTTGCAAATGTTGACAACGGGTGTGCGTGGCGCTAAGACGAGAGCCGCATTTTGAAAACCACCAGCACTCAATCCGCGAAGCTTTGGCAATGTTTAGAATGAGTGTGCGCGGCGCTTCGGCGAGGGCCACATTTTGAAAACGTACCGCCCTTCATCTGTGAAATTGTTGTCAAATGTACGTTTCAGAGTCATAAGTGGTGAGGAAAGCTCAGGCGAAACGCCCAGACCTCCCTAAAAACTGTCCCTGGGGAGCGACAGGGAGAAGTTATTTAGAAGGAAAAGGAATGGAGGAGGAGGAGGAGGAGGAGGAGGTGCACGAGGGCGCACACACTCACGCTCTCACACACACACATACACACACACACACACTGGAGCAACAGCAGCAGGAGCAGCAGGAGCAGGGGTGAGGCGGGGCAGACGGATACGGAGGGGTGCCAGATGGAGTGTGGGTGGGAGCGGGAGGAAGGGGCCATGCGGGACGGGGGAAAAGACGGTGGCGGAAGGAGGGAACAGGTTGAGGAGGTGGCAGTGGTGATATAGCAGGATGATGGATGAAACCAGTGGAGCAGCCAGAGGAGGAGGGTCCCTGCCCCTCTACATCCTCCCCACCCTCCTGCTGTAGCCCTTCATCCCAGCATTCTTATCAACATCATCAGCATCGTCAGCATTGTTTTTTATCATCATCATCATCAGCAGCAGCAGCATGACCATCATCATCGTCGACATCGTCATCGCCATGGTCATCATCATCATCATCATCATCATCATCATCATCATCATCATCATCATCATCATCATCATCATCATAATCTTCATCATCATCATCATCATCATTGCCATCGCCGCAATCATCATCATCAACATCATCGTTTCCGTCATCATCTGCATCATCATCAACATCGTCATTATTATCATCAGCATCATCATCGTTTTTGTCATCATCATCCTCATCATCAGGTGTAGCATCATCATCATCAGCAGCATCAACATCATCAGCCGCATCATCATCATATCATCACCATCGTTATCATGACCATCATCATCATCACCATCATCGTCGTCGCCATCGACATCGGTATTTTCAACACCACCGTCGGCATCATTGTAATCTCCATCGTCGTACACATCATCGATTTCAATTTTCATTATCATCAGAGCCGCCATCATCGTCAGCACCGTCATCAGCATCATAATCGTCTTCCTCATCACCATCTCTCCTTGCCCTCTCCCGCTGAGCGTGGCCCTCCATCCTGCCCATCGCCACCACCGACCTGGCCGCCGTGGGCCGCGCGAGGTTGCTCTGGGCGGCGGTGTCAAGCAGGTTATGCGCGAGCTGGGTGGCGGCGGGAAGGCGAAGGCGACGGCGCCAGGGGTGGGGGCGCAGGAGGAGGAGAAAGACGAGGTTGCCGATCTTCCAGTGCAGTCACGCGGGGTCGTTTGAAGATCGCTCGTCTTCATCATCATCATCACTCTCCCTCCTCCTCCTCCTCCTCCTCCCCGCCTTTTCTCTCCTCACACCTCCCTCTCCTCCATCCCTCCTCCTCCCTCCTGCTCCTCAGGCTTCTCCTGATCTCCCTCCCGTCTGTTCCTTCTCCTCCTCCTTCCTCCTCTTCTTCCTCCTCATCCTCCTCATGCTGAGTTCGACGTGGACCCACAGCTCAACGAGGAGATTTACGACTGAACCAATGTGACTGCAATGGGCGATCCTGACTTGGAGCCATTTGCTGACCTCGACACAAGTATGGAGGTGCCAGCAGCTCGAAACAGTGGTTACAGGGACACCAGTATCCCGTCGTCAGGCGCTGGTGCAAAGTTGGCGCAGCCTTTTGCAACCCAGGGGCTGGTCGGCGGGAGCCCCCTCTGGGAGCTCCAGCGACGTATGCAACCTGACGGCTAAGCAGGCGATCGTTGATTCACGATTTGCTGGGTTAGGCACCTCCGGGGAAGGCCACGAGCAGCACAGCGTATCAGATTCGCACGCGACCTTCCTGTTCGCCAACTTTACGGAATGGGCGCCACAGGTTCGGAATTCTCCCCAGCAGCACCCGCACGTTTATCCGTTGGTTGGGTTTGCGGGATCTGCTCCAACCCCCCCGGACTGGAAGCCTCGCTTTGACATGTTCAGGCCGAGACCCCAGCCCGCGCGGCAATGTCTGAACGCTTGCGCCAGTCATGCCATGAAGATCGATGCTACGAGTGACCTCGGCTCCTTGGACAGCAAGGCTTCGACATCGGAGGCTGACGCCTGGAATGAAGTAACCAATCAATCGCCCGCTCGGCATGGAGCTGCAGCGCCAGCAAGGCTACGCGGACAACCCTCCAGAGGGCCGACAGGGCCCAGGGGTGAGCCATGGTCAGACCACGCCGTGCCGTCACGGGCTGGGCCAAGGCGGCGCGGAGGACCAAGCCAGGAGCTTCACGCCGACGTGCCGAGCAAGTTCGACTTGACCCTTGGCAACGCGAAATCCCACGCTACTGATCGATCGCGGCTGTCCCTACCATCGTGGTCTCGGCCAAGAAAGATGCATAGAAGGTTGACTCGGGCCGGTTGGCCTGCGACGCATGGCGCCCACTGGACACGCGGAACTCACGAGCATGCTGAATTCGTTCGAAGCGGACCTCGCGCGGCTGTCCGCCCTGCTGGCCACCGCCTGCGCCGTCGCTCCCGCGCCTGCGCGGAGCGGGGCGGCGCTTGGCACGCTGCCCCGAGCGAGCAGGACATGAGGCCAGACAGGCAGCATCCCACTTCGGATTGGGACGAAAAGTCAGCAGCGCCCGAGAGCCAAAACCGTTCACCCCAGCTGCGAGTGCAACCTGGGGACCTGGGGTGCGTGTCTGTCTCCTCCAAACCATCGCCCCGGGTTGCCTTCATTTCGGTTCTCGCAAACCTTTCATGCGTGGTTGCGCATATCGCGCGCGTTGTTTTGTTCGATGTCTGGTGAAACCTTCACCTTTGGTTGCGCATGTAATTTTCGAAAGGGGCCCACCCGGGCTTTCACATTTAAGTTCCCCTGAAATCGTAACCCCAGGTTGCGCTCGCATCTGGGGCTGCGCGTTTTTTTCTTCGCCCGTGGCCTAAGTGACGAAGCCTCGCGCGTACTCGGGTTCGCTGCGGCCGCGGCGCCACCCGTCATTGCGCAGTTGTGCGTTTCTATTTCGCTTATCTTGCTGGCTCATGCTGTCGTGGATTTAAATTCCCCACCCGCGGTTGCCCTCCTGGAGACCGCGCATCTTGCAGGTGGAAGCGGTCGCCCGCTCGCCGCTCGCCCCTGGCAGGTCCTTTGGTTGCAGGCCCCGCCCATGGAGTCCCGCTTTGCAAGGTTTTCCTCCGCTCAGTAGCAAGCGCGGCACGCCGAACCGCCCCGCGAGCATCGCCGTGGACCTTCGTCGACGACGCACCCGTCACATCGGGGGGCGCCGCGGGCGCCGCCGAGCGCGACGTCGGCGAGACTCTTGCTCAGGAGAGATTGATCGTGTCCAGGAAAACTGAAATCGCGGCGTCTCCAAGTCAGTCGCGCGCCGAAAAAGCGGGTTTTCCAGGATCACGGTACCCCGGCGGCCCCGGGGCGTTCGGGCTCGGACTTGGGCCAGGGCGCCGCAGCGGGGAGCTCTGTCGGGCCCAGACGCCAGCAGGCCAGATTCATGTCTGCCAGTTGGTGAAAAGCGCAGGCCCTAGGAGATCGGAGCACAGGGGCCCTTCCGCAAGCGACTCACAGCCGCCGGCGCGCAGGGGCGCCGCTTGGCCAGCGCGCGAAGCTCAGGCGTCAGGCGGGGAGTGCAGTTTCGGGCGCTGGGGGGCGGGCGCGCCCGCGCAGGCGGCGCTGGGACTTGCCGGCCCAGGGCGAGATTGGCAGGCAATCCATCGATTTGTGGCTAGGTATTTGGCAGCAGGGATCGACCTAAACGGTGTTTTGACGATTTCGCGGGCCGATGTCGTTTCGACTTCGCGTTGCGTGAAAGGCGGATTTAAGACAAAACGAGGGAAAACGAACACATAACGAAAACGAGAAACACCGTATAGGTTCAGCCCTGTTTGGCGGCCCCGATCGGGTCAAGATTCGCGCCGGCCTAGAAAGGGGCCAGGCGGCGCGATCGAGTGGCCCAGTGTCCGAGGGCCGACCGGGGCTGTTCAGGCCGCGCTCATCCAGGCAGGGGAGAGCCCGCATGGGCCCAACTTTCGGGACGGGCCATCGCACGCCCAGGTCGCCTTCCAGTTTCCTAGGGCAGGCGACCCCGACTTTGCCCTTGTGCAAGACTCAGGCCGCATTGAGCTCCTGGGTGATATTTTTTCAGACCCCAACCTCCAGCTGCGGCGAGGAGCGGCGGCGCACGAGGCAGGCGATAATGTCGGAGACGGAGCTGACCTCCATATGTTGCGCCATGAGCACGAGCGTTTTGAGTGTCGAGGAGAGTTCAGCATTCGGAGTTTAAACCTGCGCGCAGCATCTGCAGGGTAGCGGCCATGGCAGCGCTATATTGACGCAGGATACGCTGTAGATGCCACGTGCCAGCGCTTCGAGCGTAAACCAGGCAATTTGTTTCATCGGATCTGTGAGTGCGAATGCAACGCTGGCCATGCTGATTACGAATTCTCCGAGCCCCCCATCCCGCAAACGACCAGCCGGTGGGAGAGCAGACCGTCTCCTGGGCTTCGGGTTGTGACAGACAAGTCGCTAACCGCCCCCGCTGTCGTCGAGCCTCGCTCCTCGCCTCGGCACTGGCGCTCGCGGCGCCTCCAGGCCCGGGGATTGCCGCGCGCTGCCTGGCCGGGGGGCCGCGAATAGTGTCGGGGGCGGGTCGGGGGGCGGCTTTTCTGAGGGCCCTCGCCGCAGGGGGCGCGGCTCAGCGATGGTCTCGCTGCGGCAGCAGGCAGGCAGATGGGCCCCAGCCTGCGGCGTGTCCGCCCATCTCTGGCCAAGCGCCAGAAGGTGCCGGGAGCGGACTCAGTCGCGTTCGCGCATGTGCTCGCGGAGATCCCGGGCGCGATCGCGCACGTCGCCGTTTGCCAGCCCGCCCTAGCCGGACGGGGCACGGGGCGCTGGCCGCGCGCGCGGATCTCTCGGCCCCAAACAGGACCCCCCGGCACAGGGTCGCTGTCGCTCTGAGGCACTAGGGCCCAGGAGGCGCCCGCGTCACGAGGGCGGCAGCGCATGTAAAGGACTCCCTGGGCCCTTCTCTCCATGGCAGGCGCCCTTCACCAGTGGCAACATGCGTACTGATCGTTGGGCGGGCGAGGCGATGGAGAGGGGGGGGAGTTCGTGCTGCGCCAGTCCTTTGCACAGAGGTCTGCGATTGTCTATCACTCGTGATGCGCAGAAAAGCGAGGCGCGCCTCGGCTGACACTTTGCAGGTGGATCCCTGGCAGGCCTCGCGACATGGCAAGGCCGGACCCCCTCGGCTCAGCAGGCAGAAGCGCGCCATCCGTGCCTCGACACACGCGATGTCCAGATGTGGTTCAGGCTGGCGCTGCTCGGTTTGTCCACAGGCGTGCACGTCCTCTGCTCTTATTTACATCTGGCCATCTGAGTGCCCAGGGTGCCCCATCGATGAGTGTTGGTTTATGTTCCGAAAGGTTCGGGGGAAGTTGAGCGTCGGCGCCAGATCAGCTCGCGACTCTCATGGCATGTTCTCCTGACCACAGTCTGCACTGCACTGTTGTGTGGTGTGTGGCTTCACGGCGACTGCTGATGTTCGCTGGTCAGAGCCCCTGTCCCCCCTCCAAAGAGAGGGTGCGGAACCCCCAGGGACTCCGCAAAGGCTCGTGCCCCTCCCGCCGCATGCCCTCCACGGCCGCCTGGGCCTCGTCCCCTCGAGCGGCGCGGGGGGTTGCAGAGGCGAGGAGAGGGGCCGAGAGGGGCGGGGGAATGGAGGGAGAGGTGCAGGAGTCGGCGTCTACGGGGAGGCACGACGCAGAGGAGGAGCGGGCGCAGCGCGCGGCGCCCCTGCCCCCTCCTCCGCCGACGTCGGCAATCTCCTCCCGACAGCGCCCGACCTCCAGGACCGCCCCGCGCGCGCCTCGCGCGCGCTGCGGGAGGCGAAGAGGTGGGGTTGGGTTCGTCGGGTTGAACTGTTTTGTTGGTTTCTTTTTTCCTGGTTTCCATGGACTCCCTCATCCTCCTCGTCTGTGATTGTCGCCCCCCCCCCTGGTTTTCACGTCCCTCCTCCCCCCGTCCGCCTCCTCATCCTCCCTCCCCCGTTTCACTCGTCCCTCCTCCCTCCTCCTCCCTCCTTATCCTCCTCCTGCTCCTGTTCCTCCTGCTTCTCCTCCTCCTCCCCCTCCTCCTCCTCCTCCTCCTCCTCCTCCTCCTCCTCCTCCTCCTCCTCCCTTGAGGGTCGGGATTCTGCCTGGCTTCAGTG